ATTCAACCACTCAACCACTAGATGTCGCTGAAAACAACAAATCCTACACACTGTGCCTTTAAGTTTTACACAACAGCATAATAAAATATTTCAATGAAACTGTCTTAAAATTAGATAAATAAAACTTSAGACAAGCAGTAACATATAATGAATATACAGTATTACATCTTATTAAACTAAGGTTCAGAAAATCATTTTGTAAATATTAAATAAAAGTCAAATTTTCATTTCACAAGTGGAAAATATTTAAAACGCCTGCAGATCTTCTCAGAAGTGGACGTCCCAACGAATTCATTCCAAGACCAGATCAACTAAGGTCAGCTTATGCTGAGAAATCATGGCGTTAAAGCAGTTTTGGTGAAACACTTAAAATAATGTTATAAGATCACCTGGCAGCCATCTTTGTTGACTTTAGATCAATATCTGTAAAACTGACAGTTCTAACCATTATGTGTTTTCTAATGTCAGTCGGCTGTCATGGCYGATCCGTCTTGAATTGGGTTAATCAGTTATAAATGTAAATCCAGTTATTATTTTTCAGAGTTTAATGAAAATCCATTCAGTGGTCCATGAGATATTTTGCTAACACCTCAAACAAACACAGACAGGTGATCGCCAGTATTTCAGGCCTTTCGATGATGGTAAAAACTCTACAGGCTTCAGTTAGCACATTAAAAGATAAAGTTCACAACAGTACAGTTGGAGAAATACTAAACAAGTTTGGCTCGTTTGGAACGGCTGTCAGAATAGAGGAGATGAAAGTGAAGATATTTGTCCTTAAAGCAACACGYTTAATAAAAAACTAACACTTTCATATCAGCTGCTGAGCACGGTGGCAAACAGGTGACCATTTGGAAAACAATTCAACTTTAAATATATTCTAAAATAAAATTCAAMGATGTTTTTCACAGTAAAAGCTTTTCTTTATTCTCTAACCCACCCTGTTTCAGTTTAATGATCTCTGGTGTTGGGATTGTTCCATCTAGTCCTTGAGTGTCGTCTTTCTTCTATTCAGACCTCAGCATTCAGGGGGAAACCCATGACAGCATAGAGGACGCGCGCACCGCCCTGCAGCTGTACAGGAAGTACCTGGAGCTGAGCCGTGGAGGTGTGAGCGACGATGTGAGGAAGGTCCTGAAGGGGCTCTACGAGAAAGGCCGCCAGCTGGACTGGAAAGTCCCCGATTCCGATACAGGAGAGAGTCAAGGTAGCACGAAAACTCTGCAGCGAGATGGAGGCTGGTGWTAGAACGACATGTGGGAATAAATTTAGAGGACTTCAAAAGAACCAGCCCGAGCCTGAATGTACTTTCCTTCCTCCAACAGGCGCTGCTGGGTTTCCCTCTGTGATGGGGCTGTGAGCTGCTCCCTGACCTCAGATCACTCCACGTTTTCATTCTTCTCATTTTAGACCCATTTGCGTTATGTACAGTGTTGTCAAAAGCACCTCAGCAGGTGTCCTGTACTAGATCAAGTGACAAGTTTAAACCTTTWAGTTTTTTTTATATGAAAAATTAAATGAAGTTTGTATTTTATGAGTTTTTAARCTATGTATTGAATTGTTCGTTGTGTTTTTTTCTGGTCACATCTGAATAAGTGGATCACGAGTGCTGGAAGGATGTTGTGTAAAACCAGGAAGTGAGAAGCAGGATAGATTTCTTACAAATGCACAGAAATCTAAAAAGTCGTCCGCATTCTGTTTTTTCAAGAAGTCTGGGTCCAGGGACCCTAGTTTGAGAACCCCTGGGTTAAAGTATCAKATATAAGTTCAGCTTTAATAATCAACTTTGTCAGCAGGTAAACGGTAATGACTCAGCTGAAGTTAGGGGTTTTCCCCTGATCACTTTACCTCTACAGAGAAGAGCTGGTCTTTGATCCTGACCAAGTAATAAGCATCTTCTATTCATTTGCAGTCATCTCAGAATAAAGGGGGTTCTGTGGAACAAGTATGAACAGTGAACATCTCACCTGTTGTAGATGGCTCTTTAAAACAGCCTCAGATCAGTTTTGACTGGATTGACAACTCAAGCTGTTGATTTATAATGTCCAYTAGCGTTTTAGATTTAGTCGTACCTCACAAATATAAAGAAAAACAAGCATTGTTTTTTTTTTTATAAAAAGTGAAATTGTAAATATCTGAAAACGGGGAAAAAGTCATTAAAAACTAATCTCTGCATAAGAACAGAGTCTCACGAGGTTGAAACAATACCAAAATCCAAAATTTCACAGTGATTTATATAAAACAGGATATTCTGAAAGCAGGGACCCTAAAAGTGCTACAGCTAGTATGCAACGAAACAGAATTTTATGTAGATTACTACAGTATGTAGTATGAAACTGATGGCAGCATAAAGATTCATAAAACTGTTTTTAGTTTTAAAGACAGTGATCCACCTAAAACTCCAGTTCACCCATCATTCAGAAACAAACTCGTTTCTCTACAGCTATTAGTTCATAACTTCAAAAGATCTGAACCATCACTTTAACATCCAAGTGACAGAACCATCAGTAAAAGTCACAAAAATATCTACAAAAATTGAGACWACACACACACACACCGTATTTATTCATATATAATAATTTTTTTAAATTTACTGAATTATAGTATTACCTTAAAAGACCACGCATTAGGTTGGAAATCACATTTGTGGAAAAAGTCAAATTTTAAAAAATAAACTACTGCAAACATTTAAGTGCATAGATTACTCCACGATAACTTAGCTGGTATTTTCACACATTAGAACTAGTTTTCCTTGTGTTGCACCACCACCTGCTGGCTGTTTGTAKTATTGCACTCATTTATTTCCTCTTTTACTATTTATTTTAGGAGGATGATCTTAAGTCTCATTTACATACATTTCATTATTTTTAGCTGATTTCAAACAGACGTGTGTTTTCATGTCATTCAGTATTTTGATCTAACAAGTTATTTTGAAACCCCAGTACTGAATTAACCTCCTGCGTCTCTTGGGTCAAAATTATCCACCCAGAGAAACATAACCGTGTAATATCTACTTGCATGCATGACTGCTGGTTTTAGATGGGCGTGTGTAAATTCAACAACACAGATACACAGCTGGTATTGCAAACAGTTTATTTGTAGTAAATGAAAAGTGTGCCATTGAGTGAGGGGGGGGGGCTGGGCAGTCTGGGACGGTTGATGTCTTTGGTCCATACTCTGGTGGAGAAAATGTCGAGGAGTCAGCGGGACAAGAGAAAAGGCACTTGAGTTTACAGTTTCAGAGTAGTTTAGTGAAGGTGGACACAAAGTATTGGAAGAATGAATAAAGCAGATGTTTGAACTTCCATTATGCCTAGTATGAATATCACATACAAAATGCCCCATGTGAGCACAAAATCATATCGCTACATATATACAGAAAAGAATATGAAGTAAAAAGGTGAAGTGTTGAATTTATCCCCTTTAGATTTTTTTTAAACAGGCAAGGGACAAATAAAAGGCAGTCCTTTTACATGGGATGAGTTCCTATCTTCAGCTAATCTCCCTGGAGTTTGGAACGTGAACCAAAACAATTTGGATGAAGTGAAAACGAAGCATGCAGATGAGATCCCAGCTGACTGAATCCAGAGCAGCCTAAAGGTCATCTGCACGAGACAGATAGGCTGGTTTAACTGGTACACAGTGCAGCCCGCCCTCAGTCACGAGATGAGAAGAGCTCCTTGAGGAAAAAGTTTGGAACAACTTCCATCTACAATATAACCAACCACCATCACTGAACACAACGAGCTGCTGCTGAACCCACCTGCACACACGTCTGAGGCTCAGTTAACACCAAGTACAAAAATGAACATCTGCCGTTTGATGAGACGGACATTTCCAGCCACTGTTTGTTGGATAGCGCAATTTAAACTTTTACACTCTGCTTTAAATGAAAGAGGTGTGGTAATTAACAGGCTTTAGAAGTGATGGTAGGAGGATCCTCTAACATCAGCCAGAGCTTCATTTTGAAACCTGTTCAGGATGGAGCCAACAGAGCTGCTTTAAAGCACAGGTGGAGTTGTCAAAACACGTTTTTATACCATTAAACTCAGCAGCAGCGAGGAGCTCACAGCCTGAAACTAAAAAGGGAGTTATACTCGTCCTGAATCTGCGGTAAAGCAAACAAACAGCTCACAAAAACCTTACGGCACTCCAAAGTCCAACAGGAAAAACCTTTGAGCGTGTTCCCAAATCACTGAACTAACCTTTCAGTCAAGCTTACTCAGCATTTATTTACCCAAACCTGCAAACAAACTTGCAATATTTTCTCCACAAGGTTCACTAATTCAACTACTAGAGTTTTTCTTTAAATTCTCAGATAAGAAAACAAATTCTATCAGAAAGTCCTGAACAGAATGGGAATAATTCTTTGCCCCCCACCCCAAAAAATAAAATAAAATAAAACTCAAAGGAAGATGAAACATGAAGATTATGAAAGAAGCAATAAAGTAACAAGTGGTAGCTCAGTATATGTACATAACTACAATAAAGATAAGAGATTAGGAACTCCAGGGGTCCCTGTCCTTTATAGAAGCCCACTGGAAGAAAACTGATGGAAACAGGCTGTGAGAGGATCAGCTTTGAGGTATTTACTGTCATTTTGTTCTCAAAGATGGACACACAGAGGACACGTCAACCAACAGGAGCCAGAAAAAGCAGAGCAAATCAACAACTCTAAAAAGATTTCAGCAAACTGATCAGATTTTCTTCTGTTTGGACTCAGTGGGTTTATTAAAAAGTGGGGGAGGAGGGATTTAGACCTTGGTCTCACATTTCGAAATCCCATGTTTGCTCCACGAGTACCATCCATTCAAAATGGAGACATCCACGTTTGTAGAAAGGCAAATGTGAAGTCTGCGACTAAAGGCAAGCATGACATTAAAATGTCATGTGTGTGCAGGAAAAAAGTAAAAAGAAACAGCACAGGCAGAAGAAAATCCAGCTGAATAAATGTTCAGGATTATGAAAGCTTGTGTACATCAAAGGATCGCTTTGTCTAAAGAGTTGAACTTTTTTTTATATACAAAAAAAAAAAAAAAAGGTAACGAGCCCTCTCAGTTAGAAAATAACGGACAGCAAGCCAAGAGCAACAGTACAACAACTCCCCTGGACATGTAAGAGGAGACATTACTGCTGCAGGGAAGATGAGAAATAAATAGTTTAATACGTTTGGAAACGTGCGCTGCAGAGTTAGGAGAAAACAGGCCGGTGTTTTTTGGTAAATATGGAGCTACAGAAAGCACATGATTAACTTAGAGTCAAGACTGGAAACAGGACTAATAGGTGGTSTTTTTTATTTATTTTCTTTATTTTTTAAGAAACGTACTTTATTTTACCAAAACCTCAGTCAGTAAGCTTTTTAATTACTGTTCTGAAAGCCAACAAAGCTCATTTCTTTTACCCTTTCTGCTGAGCTAACCTGCTGCTTGATTCAACTTCAGTGTTGATTTATGCTCAACTCTGCGGAAGAAGCACTTCAAACCCCTGTTAAACTACTTTAAGAGAAAACGTTTGTCTAAACACGTCTAAGTCCCGACAAGCTCTTTAGATTTTGTAGCAGCCATACAAAAAGCTCTGCTTTASAGTTTGATATGTCTCATTTTTACCCAACGACGACTGACGACGGTCTGTAGTGTTGATTGCGTGTCTACTACTCCGAGGACAGAAACCCTGTCAATGCTAGAACTACTTTTGCACTTTCACGACGCTTTCCATGGTTAAGGCATTGAAATGGTTCTTGGAGACAAAAAAAAAAACTAACAAACAAAAAAAGAAACAAACATCTGAGCTTCAAATCAGAGAGCTGACAGCGCCACGACAAAAATAGAAGAAAAGTACTAAGAGCTGAACTTCAATAGTGCACGGATTGTTGCAGGTAATTAAGTCAGTCTCTGACAGACTGCTTGACTGTGGAAACTAAAGACAGAAAGTGACAAGAGAAGAGCAGTGAACTCTCTCAGAGGGGGGCTAAAGATAGAAACTCTCACTGTAACCAGAGGACAGAAATGGAAGAAGAAGGGCAATTACAGAACAGTGAGAGCTTTCAAGTCTGAAGGATGAATGGACCGATGCAGARAGGCGGCACTACAGCTCAACTGACTGAAATATGTAAACTTGTATACTATTCTTCATTGGAAGGAGTTAGGGAGGGGGAGGGGGCAGGAGGAGGGGAGAGGGGGTCTGACTGAGCCAAAGATTTCTGATGTCAAGGGTAGTGTGTTCGAGGRAGCCTTTGAGGCAGCCCGTTGTGAGCAGGCTGGTCTTGGTGGTGGGAGGGCGTGGAGGAGTGGGAGGGGCCTCTGGAGCTGTTGGAGTGTTGCGATGTGGGCCCCCCGTCACTCTGATGGCGATGGCTCCCACGGCCAGCGTTCCTGTCATGATGGGAGCTGCCGTTATACCGCTGGCCTCCCGAGTGATACCCCGGTCCCTGGAAAGTGCGCCTGTTGCCCTGGAAAATCTAAGGGAGGAATGAAAAAAGCCAGTCAGTCGGGTAAATGAACAGGTTCGGGAGACGCAGGTTTGGACAACAGATGCTTTTCCAGCTGACCTGTTTGGCCGGGGGAGGACGGGTTTCAGTGGGGGCACTTGGGATCTGGGTGGGAGGAGGGGTCTCCTGCAGGCCGGGGCTGGCGATAGAGGATGACGTGGAGCTACAACGGGAACGATTTGAGTAGCCAGTGCGTGGGTGGTACACTGTAAAATAAAACAAGGAGAGTTACAAACTGCACAACTGACTTTCACATTTGGTTCTTGAAACGTTTGAGCATTTAGTGACCACGGGTCTAAAGTAACTTTATAAACTATCAATAATAAAAAAAACACATCACTTTATTTTTCTCTTTGAAAGAACTGTTCACTTCAGTAAAACTCAAAAACAGAAACAAACTCTATGAATACATTTTGTGTGTTTTACACAACTCACCAGCAGCCTGTTGAACAAAACCAGATTATTCTGGTTATTAAGCATGACCAAGACCTTACTAAGCTCTACCATATCACCAGTTATCAAACCCAAAAGGCCAACACATATTTTCTTGAATATAACATATTGTAGCATATTGTGTGAATATTGTAGCAACAAGATAAGAGACAGGAAGACCAGGGTTCTAAACTTTGGTACAAAAGAAACGTTGAGCAGAACATCTGTGTGTGACCTCAGACTGAGAGCTCATTTGAACAAAGTTGATCATCGAGACACAATGCTAGTCTTATCAGCACTGTGACCTCACAGTGAACAGATATGAAGTTTACAGGACGGTTCTGTTCCCATCAGTATCTCCTCAGTGAGTTWCTTTTTTTWATAATGCATATGTGAAAACTGAATCTGGACATACACATCTCTAACAGATCAAAACAAAAAACATTGTTATAACAGACTAAAAGAAGCAAATAAAGTGATTTGATTAAAACCAGATTAGGATTGGTTTTTATTCTATTAAAGCAGGGTTCAGCAAGGGCCACTGTTTGGTCCCTCTTCAGTTCCTATTTCACTTTTGACCACAATCACACAGGAGTGCACAGTCTTCAGGTACATAATTACAAAAAGGAAAAAAGATGGTTTTAATAATTTTGCTGGGAATAAAATTTCTGACAGAATAATACTTGGAAACAAACTTATTCATTAGTTTATGCTAATTTGTTAGAAATTCATTAATCCAGCTTCCAACCAAACAGAGKAAACATTTACAGTATTAAATCATCTGAAAATTTAACATTTTTTAACCCATTAAAGCATATTTAAATTGCTGAAGGGAAATAAATTACAGTTTAGCATACATCTGACAAATAAAAATATTATGCWACACTGAMATRAGCTTTTTACAAAACCATGGCAGTATACATAAAGTTTGCCTTTGATACAAACATAATGGAAGTTAAAATAAATGAAAATTTGAAAAGAATAAATCTTTCAAGAACTCCGTTAAATACCCAACAAACTGTTCAAAATGTTATGACTGCTTTATTAAAATGCAAGTCTAAGCTTTATTATATCAAAGTACAATTTGTGGCTCTGAATGATTCTATTGGTGCATTAAAATGGCTTCTGATTGTAAAGTTTGAAGAACCTTGTATCGGGGTGGAGCAGATGTGCTCGAGAGGCGACAAACACTATTCTAAAAGCAAATAAAAATTGACTTGCACTGAAGTCATGCTGACTCTGTGTCATCATCAAGGGTCTTTTTGCCACAAAGTCAGCATGACTTCGTGGCAAAAAGACCCCGATAATGACAGACTGGATGAGTGGTTTGAAAATAGAAAAACAGAAGTGATWTCAGGAGGAGGTGTTGTGAAATCAACTGCCCAGATCCAGTTCTGAGAAATAAACTGAATGGATCACTGCTACTCTTGAAGGCTATTTCTAATTCAGGATAAGAAAAGAATAAAACWGCTACTTCACAATATTTCAGCAAACTAGAGACTATAGTGTATTAAGAGTCTCAATTATATTAACTAATGTTTTGATGGAGGGAACTCATTGTTGACCAAAGTTTCATGTTTGTCAACCTCAGATAACGTTAACGTTTTCCTGTATAAAACTCTGAAAAAAAGAGACTTCACTTTAAAGCATTTTTTAAATAGTTAGGCGTGTCCTTGACCTGTTTTGTGTCACAAATGTGCTAACAAAGTTCAGCAATGGCTGCAGAGTGAATTAGACAATATAATTGCATCTGTGCACCAAACACCAGCAAAACAAACTGTTTAGGACAACCCTGTCCATTTATAACCTGAATACTCACTCAAGTTCTCTTTAAGCTAAACTCACAGATGCTTTAGTGAGATAACTTCAGGTTCAGACCGGGTTACAAAACTGGTTTACATTTAATGTGGTAAATGATGCTGAAAAAAACCTAACCTAGCCTAAACCAGATATGGTCTGGAGCAGGTTAGGTTTCTGGGTTGTGGATCACAAGTCCACATACATGCCAACCAATCAGTGTGTGCAWCTGAGAGTCTGAGTTCCATCGCTCTGTTTGACGGAAACATCTTCACATTAAGGACACTGCCCGTCTGTCCATTCAAGATCATTTTACCAACAATCTCAGAAAATATTTGAAAGCTTTATTAAAAAAAGAAATTGTTGCATCCAATTTAATGTTTTTAATGCAGCATTATAGAGACTAACTGACAAATCATTTCTTGAAAATAAGCCCCAATGAGTTTCTAAAATAAAATACAATAAAATAAAAACAGAATAAGAATAATACTTATTTGCAGCTTCATGACTGTGGAAGTTTCTGACACAACTCGTCCTGTTTTACATAACAAGGACAGATCCGGAGTCAGATATTAGACCCGGTCTTAAAARGGATCCCCCAATTAGTTGTAACATTTGATAAACATATATTTTAACTGTAAAATAAAGACTGTAAAAATACTGTAGGCTGTTTAGTTTTCGGGGCCATTTTATTTACATGCAAAGCATTCTGGGTAAATGATGACGCGGATAGGTCCTCAGTGCGAGGCTGCTARCGAGCTATATCCACCCTGAAGTTTAATCTTGGACAATATCTGACGATCGACTCTTTTAAATGAAACCAGAGAGCGTTGACAGAGAGGAGAAGGTAGAAATGACTCAGCCTGTAACTGAAAATATRGATGGAGGACAACAGAGCTGCTTCATGGAAGAAGAACCTCAGCTTAGCCTGTTAGCTTTAGCCCCGACGCTATCACCATACATATGTATTAGCTCAGCGCTACACATTCTCCTCTCGTCACTGAGGTCCTCCATCCACATGACAGAGGGGAACACAAAAATGACTCAGCCTGTAACTGAAAATATGGATGGAGGACCTCAGTTTAGCTTGTTAGTTTGTCTGGCTAGTGCTGAGCTAATACATATAAGGCAATATAGCATCGGCGCTATATACCACACACTCATACAATAACTTTAATGTAATAGATATCTGCGTCCATTTGGTGTTGTGTTTGGAATCACCTGCTTCGTTTTAARGTGGTAAAACAAATTGCTTGTATTTATTCCTTTCTAAACACTTTGCAGATTACTTTTTCTGCCCTCCACACGTTTAATYTGTGCGCGCTCCGGCAGGGTGACMATCATSCTGTTTATGCTTTTTTTCTTTTTTTGAAAGACAGTCTGACCGTCAGCCTTTCCCACAGCRTTTCCCCRCTGTACAAGGAGACAGTATTGCGCTATGACCGCAGGAGAAACGAGGTCCAGACTCAGAGCTTTTCTGCGTCCCACCTGAGCACTGACTGTYGCCTCGCGGCGCGCTCCTCCCGCTGCAGGCAGTGTGGTCGTTCGGCAACCGACCGGAGGACGCGCCATCACGTAAACAGTTCGGCGTTCATTTTCACASACCCGAACCAGGTCCGGATAAGTTATGCCCCCCCGCTTCATTTGCACTCTCAGCCTCGCTGTGTTCACCATGTGCCGCGGCGCGCTCTCCTCCCGCTGCAGGCGCGCCGTCACGTAAACATGTAAACAGTGGTCCGGATGAGTTATGTTTTTTTTTCCCCCTCCTCATTTGCGCTCTCAGCCACGCTGCTTCCCGCTTCCTCTGTTTTGACTTCAGCCGGTTAAGTCATCAAAAAGAATTGCGCGGTTGGCCGGTAGACTACAGATCTTTATCATAGGACAAATTTATATTGTTTCTACCGTATATCGTTTATATCGCGCATTCCTACTAATCAGGGATCCCTTTAAAGGGATCCACGATTTGTTGTAACATTAAACTTTATTTGATAAACATATAGTTAAAGCAGCTGACAGCTTACCATCGAATGAAATGAATGAATGAAGGTCAATAGAGCAAAAATTGTGAAAGACGCCCTCATCATCATCATCATCATCATCAATGAGTCAAACAATTACAACACACTACAGAATAATTAGGAAATAACTTTTCACAAAAAAAGAACAAAACTAAGACACAGAAAGATACTTTTCTAAAGCATTGAATGTACTGTTAAACTGAAACAGACCTGATTATTATTACGTTTGTTTGTTTAAATGTGACATTTCTGAAATTTTCCATTTATAGATCATTAAAATTGTTTTTCAACAAAATAACAAGACATGTTTTAGCTGAAAAACTATATTTAATTATAAAACATCGAATTCAGAAAGAATATAAATACTATTTTGTGAAAAAAAGATTGAAGTTTGTAATACAAAGTAGTAGTCTTACCCCATGGTAAAAGAAAAATAAGTTTCTGTACTCTCAAAGTGTTGACATGCCTTAAAACAAACAGTTTATAGTTCATCATACAGTGAACCCTGAGTCACAAAAAACACTCAGTTGTTTCTCCATAATTCTCCTTTGTGGGTGAAACTGCTTACTGAGACTCCAAAAAGTATTAAGAAAAACTATTTATCTCTATTTCATAGATGTTGCTTTTGGTTAAAAAAAAAGTATATTTGTCTGTTTATAACCACCATATTAAAATGTCACTAATAAACAATTTCATTTTATTGTTGCATTTATGAAACAAAATTTTGATTGAACTGTAAAACATTTTAAAAAAAAATTGGAATTTCTGTTTTAAACGGTGTAATGTTTATGAATATAAAAAGTATGCTGCTGGATTGCCATAATGCAGGGAGAAAAGTTGTATTCATTAAAAATATCCAAAAGATTATTTTGTTAAATGCAAATAAAATCAAAAGTACCTATTTAACTTTTTACTGTCTGAAATGAGAATTTATATCTTCTTTTATTTAATGACTGGTGTGTACTCTGGTATAACAAGACTATCATTAATGAAACTACTTTAGGCCTTGTGTAACTAAATTATTGTGACATAATTTCAGATTTTGAGATTAATGAAAGAAGTATTTTGTCATTATGAAGAATCATAGCAAGCGTTAAATAATCGTTACAAATGAGACGAAAGAGAAATGAACTGGATGCAGTACCTGATCCAAACCCAGAGATGCTCGTTTTCAGAGGTTCGATGTCAAATGTAAACCTGACTGCTTTCCCAAGGTCYTCGTCATATTTACGTTCACTAACAAAGTGCTGCAAAAGGAAAAACAGACATTCAATTTTTGTGCACTTCAAAACACAACAAATAAGGTACAACTCGATGCCAAAGCATCGTCTGGTCGCCTCCGCCTGTCCTAGACTCATCTGCATTTAAAGCACTGGGCATGCAGTTACCTCTTGACCTCTATTTTTGGACTTTAATATTGTAAGAAGTAGGTAGCTGTATCAACAATGTGTAAACGTGTCTTCCTCTTTGATATTTACTATATCATTCATTTCAGTGACCAACCTCTTATGTGTACCTTCCAAAATAAGAGGATTGAAGCCACAAAGAACACTTTACCTGACCTTCAGCTTTGACCTTTGACCCCAAAATGTTTTCAGACCTCCGTTGGGCCAAGAACAATTATCATGTTAATTTAGCCTGAAATCAAAAGCTCTGTTCAGGAGCTACAGTGCACACAAGACAGTGTGACAGACAACCAAAGAACAGTACTGTAYGTCTCCTCAGGCGGAGGCTGAACAAATGTGGCTCTTCATCTTTTAACAAACCTAAAAAAATGAGGAAGCTTTTTTGACAAAAGAAAAAAAGTTTTTCCCTAATTTATTCAATTAGAGCCTAAAGCTATGGAGACACACCAGCGGTGGTTTTTCAGAGGTACCTTAATGTCTGCACGTAGTTCTGCCAGCTGCTCCTCCGACATGGATGCAGATCGGTCCGTCAGCCGTCTGAGCTCCTCCGCTTTCTTCTGCCGGGCATCCAGATTCATCACTGAAACACAGCAGCTCAGTCAGACACCTAAAGCAATAAAACCATCAACTCCGTATTTAAGCACAGCAGATTTTATTTTGGCAGAACCCAGCATGTAGGTAAATGTCTTCATGTGCTGCATCTTCAACAGGTCTAAGGTCAAACCCCTCTGGACTGTAGCAGATGAATTTCTAAACTAACTGAAGTGTTGAATGTGTGGTTTTTTTTTAGAACTTTGGAAGAAAAAACCCTGAAATTTTAGTATTTTACAAAATTTTCCAGAATAAATCCTGAGAACTTTGTAAAAGGCCCAAAGTCATCATTCAGTGTTAAGGTGGCCTTCTTTAGATCTCTTTTTTTTGGTCCAGTGACTTAAACAGACCATAAACATCCCATGAGAACTGCAAGAGATGTTATAATCCAAACCACTGAGACTTCACAATGTGCTCATTTTGCACAAATCTTTACATCAATAGTTTACCGTTTCTTCACATGGGGATAAATACGGCTAATAGAGGAACCAGCACTGCTACAAACCAAAACTATTTAAAAAGAAAAAAGAGAAATAAAGAGCGTGTTGCTGTTTTTGGCAATACCCATRCATAGTATCTTAGTTCTACAGACAGGACGATGATCATAATCTGGTTTTTACAAACAAAAATGTTTGTGTTTTCTTCTTATGGAGAAAAATGTCATAAAATAACTGTTACTTAAAATGAAGAGGAATAAAAGGGCACATTTTGAAGAAACGCTGCTTTTGTAGTGTAATGTCGAAGAAGTACTAGAATTTCTTTGCTTTACTCTCGACTGGCCACACACCTCGCACAAAGACAGCATTGAAGCTCCCTCGACACCCGACACTATTCAGTTTTTCCAGGGCTTGAACACACAACACTCCACACAGAGGACAGAATAAGAGAAACTGACCTACTTATACAAATATGGAGTCCTGCTCTGTCATCTTACAAACACACACAAACAGGTACACAAACACATGGAGTATGCTCTAGGTATCTCAGCACCCTAAGGGCACCACTGCACTTGTGAGGAAACTGGGATTTGTTGTTCCATAACAAACTCTTTTGGTTCCTCTGGGGCTGATTTAGGTCAGATTCTTCAGGTCTTTGAGTCAGGCGATCATATTATGGAAGAATAATAGCAGCTCTACTGGTAAGTGCAGGGAGAGTTTAGTATATTTACACTGGAGAAAGGAAGTACTTACTGGACTCAGCTTTCACTTTGTCCATCTCTGCCAACAGAGTCACTTCTCTGTCCATTAAGCTGGAAAYAAAGAAGAAATGTGTCGATTCACTTTTCTCAATGTGATTCCTGACTTTGAAACAACTTTTCACACAGCACTGGTGGTAATGACAACTACAATGCTGTCAATAAATGACAATGCAGAACAAAAAAAAATTAAAATAAAATTTTAAGAAAGAGACAAATCCAAATATTAATGTCATTATCAAATATTATACATATTTAATCATACATTTTTTAAAGTACATTTTTATGTATGTGCACATTTAGCTGCTACAAAATAAAATATGAGGACAAAAATAAAAACAACAAGAAGGAAGTTCTGAATTATTTCTCATTCTTATGGAGTACAGGATGCCCAGTAGCGGTTGATTGCTAAGTCAAGTTTTCACTGCAAAGCTTGTCAAAATAAATTTGCACATCAACAACAAAAAAAAACCTCATATTTTCAAAATAATCAAACATTTGATTGAAAGCTACATTTGATAAGAAACTTGTGTTTTATTTTTTCAGGAACTAATCTTCTTGTTTTATGGACGTTGACAAGCGGTTATGAGTGTTGCACTTTTACTCTTTCAGTGTCGAGATACAAAATAGTTGGCTGGGAAGTAAGTGGTCCAAAGTGGCCAAAGAAGTTATTTTCAGGAGAACTCGCACAAAACATTTTGGGCCATCAGGKAATGTGCTGCACACTAAGGTGAGCTAATTTTTCTGTTCAGTACAACATTATTAAGTAAAGACCTCAGCATCTTTAGAACAAGAAAAACAAAAAGGCGGCCTAAACTTTTGTTAAATATACACCTGACATCTCATTCCTGAGCAAAGAGTTGCAAAAGCAAGGTGGTCTTTTTTTAATGTAAAGAAAACATTCGTGTTATCTAAATAAAAAAATCCACACTTAACACAAACTTCAACAATTTAAGACTTGCAATAACAAAATTAAATAAATAAAATAAATAAATAAATAAATACGTAAATAAAATTCTCAACCTTCTAATTTTTTTTACCAACCTTAAAGCAGTACACCTTGTGTTGTTAAATTTTTTTATTATACTGACAATTTTTTTAACCCACACACTGTTTATCAGCATGAACTTAACTGAATAAATGCAACCTGAAATAACATAGAAATTTGGTTTCTTTTTTGTATTTAAAGTGCAGTAAACTGTTTAAACTGTGCCTGAAGTGTATTAGCTTTATATTTCTGTGCAAATGGACATTTTCGTGTAATTTTGTTTAATTCTGCAATATTCTGTCTGAAACCATCTTGGTGCTGCCCTCTACGGGTTGAATGGTGGCTACTGCAGTTTAATTTTCCTATTGGTTAAAAAGGTACACGCTTACGTCACAGCTCACGGTTCTGGTATGAACGTTTATTACTGCTTTGAACATTAGCTCATGTTAGCAACAATGCTGCTAGCATCACTTTAACACTCAAACTGGACCCATTCTGTCCTTCATTGCCTCGCCAGTACCGGCTTCATGAATCGCTGAGTCAGCGCCTTGAGCCAGTGGCTCGATCCGATGAGGTTCAGACCTGCTGGGCTCCAGGTCTCCCTCAACCTCTGGTGAGGAGGAGAATTTAAATAATCTTCCACTGTGGCTAAACTACCTGCTGGTTACTCTGTGTTTAGTGATGTTTTTGTGATTCCATATTTTTTTAACCATGAAATTTCTGGTCAGCAACATTTTCATTATTTCGTCTGTAATAAATCTGTTTGTTGATGTTTAATCTTGCCGGGTCTTTACTATCAGTTTATCATTACTGAGCCACACTTCAGACTCATGTAATGGCTAAAGTGCTTATGTGGTACATGCAGTACTGGATTATTCTACACTTACAGCAGAAAACTTAAAACAAAGTTGGTGATTTCTGAAACCTTTATTTGATTTGTGAAACTTCAATCAAGGCTGTTTTCAGCACATTTTTATGCATCTGGACCACATTAGACCTATTTTCAGAAATGCTAGCTTGTCAAACTAAGCTGACCACGCCTCGTCGCCATCCCCACACTTGGCCGCCCACCTCGTTGTCTCTTGGCTCCGCCCACTTTGTTGGAATTTTTCAAATTCTGCCTGGGGTTGGGGGGTTATGATTTCAC